TGAAAGAAGTATGAATCAAAATAAAAGTAATAAAAAGGTCATTTCTACATATGACTTCCAATTAAACATTTTTTTTTCAGATAGTCTGAAAATGCACAATACTGACAGCGAACTTTGGAATCATATGATGAAGAATTTAGGAGCACTATGGTCCAATGATTCTTGGAAATAGATTTCATGAAGGAATCAGAAAATGAAAGGGAACTACTTTCTTTCTCCAAACCTTCCTGGGGTTAGCACATTACTTCTGTATCTGCTCTTCTAACAGCTGCATGTATGCTGTAATTACAATGACCCAAGAAACAAAAAGCACTGAATAATCTTGCTGACTTGATATGGTTAGCAGAGCAGGCCACTTGAGGATAAAATTTTTATTAAGAGTTGAATCATGCTAAATTTGATTGGCTGCAATGATAACTACTTCTTTCTCTAAACATTCTGCCTAGAGAGAAATAGTGAAATTCAAGAAAGTGATACATGTTATTTAAATGATAGTAAATAAACTAAAATGATTTTTAGTGGGATTGACAAAGCGGGATTGACATCTATGGTAGTGAGCCTCATGTAACAAAGCAAAACGGAGATTTAACCATCATGCAGGGAGAGGGAATACTGAGGATGGTCACACTGGTTGACTCTATCCTGATGGTTACATTATCCAGCTCAGCCATCTCCACTGATGAAAATAACCTGGTAAATGCCATAACTTTGCTTTGCTTTATGGCCTTAGGGTGAGCATATGTTTTATTTTGCACAGTTTATTACTTGTTAAAGAGACCCAGTCCTGAAAATAAGTACCAGTTCATATGCCAAACATCCTATATTCTATAGACAGTCTGAATTGATTAAAGTCTCATTCACCAATTTTTCTAAAATGTAACTATCCTCTACTCAGAAAAACAAAGAAACAGAACCTGCAAGATCTACAACTTCCCTCCTATTCCAGATCAAAGAAAACTCCAAGACAAAAATAAATATTTGGAAGCAAAATTCAAGAAAAGTCAAAATACATCAAAATGAGATTAAAGTTCCCTGATTTTTTTTTTCTTTCAGTCAAACTAACCCCCTGTTCAAATGAATACACTGGTGCATATTAAGGCTTTATAAAGTTCATAGAGTTAAATATGTTGAAAATACAAAGGATGACTTCCTATCTCTAAAATCAGTTCTTCCTGCTTCTAACACGACATATTGTGCAACTCTGATAAAAATATTTATACAGCAGAAATGTAGTGCCCCAGCTCAGACACAAGACACTCACTGGTAAGTTAACAGATTCTTCCATTAACCTCAGAATTTCATTAAGGACAAAATGAATTTAATAGCTGGAATGTGACTACTTTCCTGGAGTTGTGAGTAATGCAGAATAACAGCAAAGGTTTACTAACTATATGAAAAGCCACATATACATCGTGAGCATTTATAGCTTAAACACGTTCCCGTGGGAAGCACAACCTGACAGGATTCGGACTTTTATAACCTGATCTGAGAGTTAAGAGCTCCCCCATAAAGATGACGCAAAAGCCCTAATGCACAGCACATTAAGCCCTAATGAAACAGCCAAGTCCCTGTTTAACAACGCAGGCCTCTATTCAATGATGGTTTAAATATAAGCATAATAAAGCAGATTAAAAAGAAAGAAGCTGTAATTACTTTTTGAAGAACTCAATCTCTTGTCCTATTATTGGCCATAGGTGAGTCTCAAAGGCTGAATGCAGGTAGTATAAATTACATGGAAGTCTTGCCAATCAGGCTACATCCATTATTCTTTTTAAAATGTTCAGTAAATTAATTGGTAAAACTGGCAGGAAAAAATTAAAAGAAAACTGAGAAATTAACATTCTGGTCGAGTCAATTAGCTCTAAGCTAGCCACGTCACGTTATCTTGTTTTTCTTGGTAAAGAATTGGTTTCAAGGTGTGTAGGGGTGGGGGGAGGTCATGGGGAAAGGAAGCTGAATCCAACAGACTCAGAAAAAACTGTGCTGGTTTTATGATGACTCTTTAAAGTGAAGCCATCATCCAGCTGGGGCTCTGTCTACTCTGCAGTACAAAGAAACGTGGTTATTTGACACTATTTTTTTTAACAAATTTGTAACTTTTTGGCTTTGTTGTTTGTAATAAAATTTACACAGGAGAGGCGATTATCAGTACAAATATGTCTAAACCTTAATTATTCTCCCAAATACATGTCAAATAATTTGAACTTGGAACAAGAAATCTTAAAATTTGTTTAAGTTATTTTTTTTCCCAACTGTATAGCTCATGTTGACACTCAGTTCAAATTATTTAAAACCACCCATGTCAAACCAAAACATAGATCAAAGCCACAGAGTTCTTAAGTCCTCAACTTCTGGCTTCTGTTCCTTTTTTCTTGGCCTAAAATGTCATAAATCTATCATTAACCACCAACTGTCCTGAAAGTTAAAACGAAAAAAGCTGGTTTAATTGAAAAAGATTAATGAATTGCTCATGTATTACTTCAATTAGCTTAAATTATAGATTTATATAAATAACTCCTGAAATTGAATGATTTTTTTGTCTGAGATGCTCTTATTTATCAAGGTCTTTTTATCAGAATACACACAGCCATTAACTTTCCATAAATTTCTGACAAAACTGCATTAAAGAAATCCTACAGTCAGCATTTTATCTCAAACAGCTTTTAGTCTCCTCAGTTCAAGTGGCCAGGAAAGACGCTCGAAACAGCATTTAGCAACACAAACATGTGTGAGTATAAAGGGGAATTTCAGATGTGCTTTTATTCAGCATACAGGGAAACTGTTCAATATTTATTTCAGCATAAAAATATTAATAAGTTACTTATCTTTGATGCAGACATGACTCTGCATCAACATCTGACGTACAGGCAAAGTATTCAAGATTAACATTTGGCCTATACGTATATTTTATGTTCTCTTTGTTAATTAAAGGAAGTTAACTCTTTTTAGACTTGTTTCTAAATCCCATTGTTTCTTTGAAATAATCACCCACTTTTCCCCACAGATTGCTTTTTTCTATTTATAGCCATATTATTTCTCTTTGAAAAAAAAATTGATCTTAACAAGATTATCTTCCTGCATGCAATTTCCTACCACTTTTTTGTCTTCTTTACTGTGTGCCGCTGCAAGGATTTAGTAGACAGCAGTGGAGGATCAGCTGTTTTATTTCTAGTTCTATTAGTTCAAACTCAGATAGCTCACACATCTGTTTTATTTCTAAAATCACTGCCCAGGAAAAGCGTTCAGCTCGTTCTACCCAAACATAAACTTTACTATAAATAACTAAGGACCTAACAAATAACTGTTTGGGGGAAATGGAACTGTGTTTAAAAATCTGAATTCTTCCGAAGTCTAGGCCTTCGTAATCTTCATTTCAGAGCCTTCCTGACAGCCGAGATCAGCTTCCCTCAGAAGTTGTCCCCAGAGTGAACAAACTGAAACTTCTGCCGGAAATCCAGGTATTAACATCATATTACTTGCTAATTATAAAACACCATTTCACATACTGACATTATTCACTTCTAACCCTTTTATCTAAAACACGTATTTGCTTTCCAATCATAGTTTGACAGCAGAGTGTATCTGACATAAGACAGTGAAATGATCTTTAATAAGACAGCAGTTCAAAGCATGTAGCTTTCATGCATAATAACTATGTTGGCTTAATTTGCTACTCCACAGAAAATCATTCTATTTGTGGAAAGTCACAAAGTAAGATGGAATTTTTTAAGAGAGCTTTACAAAGATAAAAATGGCTTTTTAAGAGTTTTTCTTTATCTCTCCTTTAGAATGGTAAGATTGCCATTCTAACATTTAAAGGACTTAGGGATTTTTTTCTTCTGAGTCTTCTTACAAATATTGCAAAATGTTCACTACCTGTTATTTATAACCCCCTGGCCTGTCTTTCTTAATTGGCACTAGGTCAATAGAGAGATGTGGAGCAAATGTGCTGTAGCTATTCAGTAGATAAAAATGACTGATATTTTAAAGGATTTAGTAGGTCAAATAAGTGTGATATAATTTCATTAGTTCTCTGGTTCTTTTAATCAGTCCTAAAGAAGGTTAATATTAAATCTAATATGTTTTGAAATCCCCTGGCTTAATAATACAATAAAAATCTACGGACTGTAACAGAAACTCATACACTTTCTCAAGTTGATCATGAGTTTCAACTACTCTCAAATTGCTAAAATGAAATGAATACATTTCTTTAGACACAGTTCTGTATTTTACTGTATTTGAAATATTTTTTTTATCTCATATAGGCCATAAACTAAATACAGAAGCATACATAAAAAAAGGTATACTAGTCTTATTAAAAGTAGAAATGTCATAGTTAGTAAATTAGTAAATTATTATTATTTTCTCTAAATGCAGAAAAGAATGCTTTGTTGGCAGGCACCAAGGTCATTCTGGTGTCCCTAGTACTTGCAATCACAGTGACTTCTGTTTAATCAATAGAAAATTTTATTTTTCAAATTTTCATTTGCAATTATGTTGCCTTTTAAGGAGTATCTCTGCAACTGTTCTCATGACCCATATTTAGTTCAATTTGAGGTTGGGCTGAGTATAAAACCAAATTCTAATATAAAACACTGGAAAGACACTCACTGGAGTGAAAACTATGGCAAAATCTAAAACTAGCACAGAGCATGAATTATTATCAGGTAGAACCATAAAGATTGGTGTCATTTTGAGAAGTCTGTAAAAACATCACATTACCATGAAATATGCCCAGAAATAAGAAGCCTGGTTAATCCCAAGAAAAAGGGATTTTTCCTGACCTGACAGAAATACTTGGATTATTTCCCAACAGGAGAGCCCAAGGACGACTCTGAACACACACCTGGATGACAAGGTGATGAAGTGTGTCTTTCTCTTTTGCTAGATCTAACAGGCTGCCTTTTTTGGTACCAGGAGCTAGACTTAAACATGCACATATGAATTCCCAGCTCATCACTAGTAACTTCCCTGCACAAAATCATATGACAAACACAAACCTGTACATCATAGGTCCCATTTAGTAAAACAGGCCTTGAAGAATTGATGTCCTGCAGCACACCAGAAAGGACAGAACGGTTGACCTTCTGGAAGTCTTTGGAATGGCTGAACTGCACCATGTTATGAAGGGCCAAGATTTTGCTGTCCAGCTCAGCATCCTGCCTGGTGCGGTTATGCAGTCCTAAGTGATACTTTCGGAAGTGCTTAATCAGATCTGTGGGGTCGTTGCCATAGTAACCGTATCCACAGATATTGCATTTAAAGTCCTGAAGCTCTGGAGACAGAGGTGCCGGGTCTGGGTTGTCATTTGCCAGTACGTCACTTTTGGATTTGTTCAGTCTTACACCCCCATCTGAAGGCACTTGTGGGATTTTTGAGGCCACTGAAACTGGGCTTGAGCCTTGACAGTTGGCTTGACCACTCTGAACTTGCCCTGTTTCCTCAGTAGCCTTTGGCGACATCTTAAGATCTTCCTTTGTCTCCACTGAGTCCCCGGATGGGGTGCAGGCCATATCTTGAGGGTCATCTGCCTCTGTACTTTGAGGAGACTTCAAGGGCTCACAGACTCCCCCAGCAGCTGGAGATGAGAAAACCAACATATTTCTCTCTGTCACCTCATCGTGTGGAAAGGAGGGAAGGCTTCCTCCCTTACTGGGGCTTTCATAATTGAAGCCAGCCTTCTCAGTCAGGACTGAGCTTTTTAAGTCCTTCTTACTGCTAGAAGATGAATCTTGGACATGCAAGCTATGTTCCTCCTTATTATTTAGTTCTGCAGCATCACTCTGATCCGTATTTTCTGACATCTGATCTGCAGGAAATTCTTTGTTCTTTCCAGATACCTTGCTTTCTGTACCTAGAGGCTCCAGGGTCTGGCCCTCGCCTTCGCTAGCAACGTTTCTCAGAGGGGGGTTCTTTTTCCGGACCATATCTACAAAAATACAAGGAAAAGAGAGTCACAGGGTTATTTTAAAGTTTCATACATGTAACTGATATTAGAACATTTAACGTATTCTATTCAAGGCTTTCTGAGATGCATAAAAACTTGCCTCTAGAATAAAATAACTTATTTTTTAAAAATAGCAAAAATTTGAGACTAAACAATTTACAGTTAAAATTGCTTATGTCACAAGAAATAACTATTGTTTTAAATGCTTTATGAACACCAAAGGGTTCATTATGATTACTAACTCTATCCTTCCTACCAATTATATTTCTTGCCCAATTTCCTTCTTCAGTTACAGTCAATGATATATATAAATATATAGGCGCCTCTATATTTATGCACATTACACAGTTTATAATATGGATATGTATTTATACAATACATTTTTATACATGTTTTTTAAATGATATGCATGTGTGCATAAAACAACATAAATTGAAACTCAATGTTACTAAACACTGTGCAACCAGATACATAGATCCAACTAAAATGTCCTATAGTCCCATAGATAGAAATAGCATATTATGAACAGAGAACACAGCTACACAACTTTCAGGAATAGAGGATGACAAATGTTTTCTTTCTGCCCTATAGACAAAGCTCCTTAAGCCCCAGATGCCGGTTGGGGGTCTCGCATGAGTCAACAGGAGGGTCTGACACACACCATGCTGGTCAGCCAGGACTCCATCCAGCATGCAGTGAACTTAGCTGGGCTCAGGGTTTCAATGTACAGCCTGATGGAAATGGCACTAATTCCACTATTGGGAGCACACTGCAAGTTGACTTAAGCAAAATATTGAATTGAGCCCTAAGACACTGCCATTTTGTAGTTCAAAATGGCAAAAATGAACAGTATCCTACATGTCTTTCAAATTAGTGGTATCAGTGTGTATAATTAAAATAAGAAGGCTATGACAAATTCCTCTTGTGGAGGTTAATGAATCAGAACTCTAAGGTCCTAGAGAGATAAGAAACAATTTGTATTTTGTCAATTAAAGAATGCCTTACAAAGGCTAGTCAAGGAGTGAGTTTTTTGACCTCTGTTTCTTAGTCTTCACTCATTACCCCAGAGTTTCTGAGGGAAAATAATCTACCTGCTACTGACTAATAAAATAACCTTTTTTACTAGCTGACTCTGCCACAAGGACAGATTTAAGAGTGAGTTGGACCATGATTATCTAAGATGTTCTGGGAAAATCCTAATTAATGATATGTTTTTGTCATTTTTGTCGAAATTTCTCATAAATACTGAGCAACCACTCTGATTTAGGGTGTATGGGTGGACCTTTGCTTCCAAGAAGTTGGTCATGCAAAAATTTTACAATGTGAATCACTGAACCAAAAAAGTGCACAAGCAAGAGTATCAGGAACCATTTATAAGGTAAAAATTCATTTTGTTGAAAGTGTTAGAATATTCATACTTCAGAAAGTACACTGTTCTTCTCATACACCGATGATGTTAGTCATTAAAAACCCATGAAATTATTTTTTGGACCAAAAACAGCAGAAACACGAGGTGAAGCACTGAAATTTCAAGCGAAAGTGATGATTTTGGAGTAAAGTAGAGTGGTCCAACCTCTGGGGGAGGAGAGGAGACACCTGGTCCTCACATTGGTGTCATTACCAATAGGCCCTGAAACTAGTTAACTGAGCTAGGTAGTCATCGCTTAAAAGTGGGACATGGGTTAACTCATTTTTTTAATGATTGCATTTTAATGTCCTATGTGTTGTTGTCGACATTTAGGAGACCCTCTATTCCTGTCTGAAGTGGTGTGACTCAGGAAGTTGTACCAGCTCTTGAGAGACTGGAGGGAAATTTTATTGGTTTTCAACAAAGGGAAAACTAAAATTGAAAGGAATAAAAGGGAAGCTTAAGAAATTGCTTAAAGTATCAGCCTGAGCAAAAAATAGACAGTTTTTACTTGGACTACAGAAAAAGACATCCTAGTTTACAGAATACCAGTCACTATATACAAAAATGTGAATAATTGTTATAGCATCTCTTGCTGTTCCTTCCAGAATGTCCTATTTGTTTTTATTTTTCCCATTCTACATAATGTCTTTAACTACTAAAATTAATATTTCTTTGGAAAAAGCTGAATAACCGTATCACTTGTATTTTAACATCTGTCCTTCATGTAAATAAAAGTCTAAAAAATGATGCACCAAAATGAAATAAATGAGGTTGCACAGAAAAGGCAAAATTTATGTATGAACGGTAGGATTTGTGAGGATGAAATAATCGAATTCACTAAAATCATCCTTTCATGAAAATGAAAAGAAAATAGTTGAAATATATAGTCAAGGTGATCAGCAAAAGAGCAACAATTCACATAGCAAGGGACCTAAGATAAAATACATAAAAGTGCATAAATATAAGTATGCTGATATTTAAAATATTAACCTATTTTTCAGAACAAAAAATTGGATCTTGCTGATTTATTGTGATCACAAAGGAAAGCAATGGATCAGATTAAAAACTATTCAGCCAGCATCTACAATGACTGAGAGAAAATATTATTTAATTAAATTATCATCCTTCTAAATTTCAGTTCCTTCTTCCACCCAATAATAGACCTTTAGAGACCATGACTCACTGCTTCCTTGTGCTGAATACAGCCCTTAATAATATACATTGCAAAGAATGCTAAACTTCTAAAACTTCAAAGAAGTATCAGAAAGGTCATTGGGTTTTATTTTTGTTGTGGGGGAAGGGGCATGTTCCTTTTAGTTGTTTTTTAAAAACGGTAGTTAATTTAGTTAACTATACTTTGAAGTAGCTATAGGAAAAAATATTTTTTTTTTACTGGCATTATATCACCATAATTTTTTAGAATGACATATTATGTAAATATAAGCACATATGCAATACTTCTAAGTGGAAGAAACTCCCCTAACAAGTCATAAGTTAGATCCAGTCAGAACTATAGCCACCCTCAAGTTATTATCTTTAAGACATATAACAGATTGCATGGTGTTTTCCTGTGTGCCAAAACTTTTCCAGTTAACATATTCACTTGAAAAAATAGATCACATACTTGTAAAATCATACCCAGCATTGACTTCATAAGGCATGTGGCTTTAGAATGCTTTTTACAATTATTAATTCTATTAGTCAACTAGCAGGAGGCTAATGCAATTGTCTTAGAAGACGCTCAGAGGACACAGAAGACATTTTGAGCGCTGATCTGTACATCTGCAAAACAAAACAAAGAAAAATATTTTCCTTCCTAAGTGATGTAAACATACTTAATGGTATCACACCTAAAATACAGAAATATGCCACACTACGGACTACTTGCTAGAAGCCTGATAAAAGAATGAGCTAACCTTGAGCAACATCTTCTCCCTCCCCTGGGTTTTCACAATATAGCAAGATAAGGAAGAATTTGATAGAAAAGATTAGAGAAATCATTTTTATAATGGACCGTGATGTTCGTGAAATTATTTAAACTCTAAACACCCCCCCTCCATGCTAGACTATAATACTTACCCCATGCTGGGGTGGGAAAGAGATCTTTTTTAGTAAACATCAAAGGGACATGCTTTTGCAGAAGATACAAAGTACACTTGCTCACACTGCCCAGTTACAGCTGAAGACAGGAAGTGGTACCCATTGCCAATCTCTGCCAGATTCACAGCACCAGCGCAACCCACAGGCAGTCAAGAACTACTGCAACGGGGCCTCCCTGGGAGTGCAGGGGTTACAGGCTCAGCACTCTCAAGCTATCACCAGCCACTGTGACATGAGTTCAATCCCCAATTAGGGAGCTGACCCACATGGCATAGCAGACCTCTCTTGTCTCACTCGCTGCTCCTCTCAGCAGTATATTTCAGTAGATCTGCCTATTTTGCTCCCCACTCTGTCTCTGGTAAATCCTCTCACCCACCCCGCCCACGCCTCTAGCCTATACCCCAGTTTTTGTGTGTATAAATAAATAAAAATAAATCTTTAAAAAAAGAACTACTACAACACCATCAAGAGTTCATCATTCCATGTCAGCCTTACCAATACAGAAACAGCCTGTACCATATTACATTAGCTTTTTGGCTATTTTTAATATCTTCCATTTTGCACGCTTGATAAACAAGCTCGTATATGGTACACCAACCTTAAGCCATCACTGTACCATCATTTTTATTATCGAATGAAAAAGAGGCAAATACTGCGTTAATAGTACTAATATAATTTTGTTATATAACATTACACAATGAGGCTTAGACATCAGCTTTGGCAACTATTATAATTTTTTTCATTCCACTATATGGCAATATCCCTCACACTGACTACCAGAACTTTCAAAATGCCAATTATAACAGGTCTACTATAAATAACCACCGCTGTAAAGAATGGGACTCTAAGTTGAAGAATATAATTGAAAACTACAAGGCTCAAATTTGCTAACAAAGTCCCTTATTTAATTGTAAGATACAAAACTGACATGGGGATGGGAGTAAGGGTGTGGTTAATAGTGAACATTCATACATTTTCATCATTCTCCATCTACAGAAACACATGACTGCTCCTTAAACATGATGTGAAAGCATATTAGGTGCCAAGGTATTTAAGCAGATTAAATATATTTAGCTTCTTCAAAATGCTCTATTTGTATTAATTTACAGTACTAAGATATAAGACCTGCAAATATCTCAATCCCTACTTTTTAATTACTTCCTTCTAAATTAAAACTTTAAAAGCTTTCTTTGCATTTTCAGTAAAAAAAAGTTTGTTATTAAAAATAATAGGATATTGTACTAGTTCACATTAAAGTATCATTTACATAGATTTATGCAGTGGAAATAATTAGCGTTAGGAATTAAAATTTATTTTTTACTGATTAAAATGTGTAAAAATATAAGGAAAAAATCCCTTTTCTATAGAAAACTGACTTATGTTCTGAGAATGGCAACTTCAAAGCAAAACGAATCTGAGTTTCCTAGTATTACCTCAATATTGGGAATTAACCAACAATGATTTTAGTTTAATTATACATATGTGTGTGTGTATGTGTGTGTTTATGGCTCCCAAAAACCTTGTAATAGATAATCAAATGAATTATTCAACCTAAGAAATTAACTATTAAAATAATTTTAAAAGAGCTAATATTAAATATTCAAAGTAGATGAGAACTAGGAATTATCTTCATTAGATGAGAAACTTCTTGAAAGTAAGTACAAATACAGAATATGTACTTTGCACCATGCTGATCTGAATGAAGCAAAGTAAATAATTAAGCCTAAAGAGAAAGAATGGTATAGTAATCTTATATCCACTTTCTGAACATGATTCAAATTACCTGCTGATGTAATCAAGAGCAACTTCCTTCACTTTCTCTGAGCCTCTGTTCTTATCTGTATAATGAGGGAATTAGAATAAATTATTTTTAAAATACCCCCTGCCTTTGAGGCTCTATAGTGGCTCTGGTTCATGGTTTAAGCACTTCAGTTTTACCATAGAAAAACTTTATCTAATTTCCCTGAAAGACTATGGAAAATTAAAGCAACAACTAAGAGTGTTATAAATACCACTGATGTCTACCATTCACTCATTTATTTTTTCCAATATTAATTGATTCACTGATTCATTCAATAAATGTATATGTACAAATATTATATCAGCTAAACTCACCAGATAGATAGATATAGATAGACAGACAGACACCCAGATAGATAACAAATTTATATAGATATGACTTAAAAGTTAGGGGACCAAGACTGTATAATTTGACCTTAGTCTCAAGTCCTACTGAGTACAAATTTTATCATAAGTATCAGTTTTTATCCTTATAATATATAATACCAGATAACATTTTCTTATGGCTTTTCCAGATAATAAAACTTTCAAGTGTTTGAAATCAAAATTTAATAGAAAATGAAAAGACTTGCTTGTTTTCTCTTTAATAAAGTTTCTTCCATGCTTGTTTGTATCATCAACCTAGTATTGAGTTATTAATTACACATTTCATGTAGACTTTATTAAAAAAATTAAAAGAATAAAAGAAGAGAAACTTATTTCTTTTGATCAAAAATCCCCCACAAAGAATTTAAAGAATTACGCAAGTGATAGTAAAATAAAAGGAAGGTCAAATTTTGGGCCTATAGCAAACTAGATCACTTCCATATGAACAACATATAAAGTTCAGTTTTTAAAGAACATATGTGTTTGCTCATTGTTTTAGGGGGAAAAAAAACTTGAATCCTGTCTACTCCACATATACAGATCAAAATCAGATTGCTTAAGTGAACTATAAAATGCAAGAGAAGATTGTTTATCCAATTCACAAAAAGAATTGCTGAAGGAGTTCATGTATTTTCTATTACTTGAAATTCCAAAGTAATACTGCAACAATAGATAGCTTTTTTTTATAAACTGCTTTAAACTTCATAAACCCAATGTCAGATCTTGTTCTTTGCTAACCATGTCTATTTAATTTGTTCTCTCTGAATTGATTGTTCCTGAATCTTTAAAGGTATTTTTGGACATCTTAAATCCTGTTGAGATTTAAATGTCATCACCTTCAAACAACTCCCATCAAATAAATCTCTTATTAATTCACATCAAATTAATCCAAAATGATCGTTTCTATTAACATATGCTTCAGAGCACAAGACCCATTAATAGTCATCTGGACACTAGAACTAACCCAAGCCTCTCTGAGATAAAATACACATTATTTAGATATCCTATTTCAAAGACTTTTGATGCTGGCCCAAACATATTTATTAAACTTTTATTTCATTATGTTATATTCTCTGTATTTCAAATATCTAATTTCAAATGTAATAGTTAGGTAAAATGAGACAGGCTGGTCAGTAGTAACGTCATATATATGCATTGCAGAGGAAGAATTTCATGAATCATTTTATTATTCTAAGAAAATTGCTAAACATTTTTTTTTTTTTGCCCTTAAAGACTTTGTGCTAGAAGTCTAAATGAAGCTGTAGAATATATCTGGAAAAAAAAAAAAGTGCCTGTTTTCACTAAATGGGGAACTAAAACAAAGCAAGTAAACATTGTGGATTATCAAAAGGAAAGGGGAATTGATTATTTTTCCTTTCATAACAGGTGAGAGGCAAATGTATTAAAAACTCTGATTTGAATAAGGTCACAATTTCACTAAGCAAATTAAGAATGCTAGCAAGCATTTCCCACACATACCTTGTTTTCCCCTTAAACAACAAAAAAACAATTTAAATAATCTACAGTGACAACTGTTGATTTAAACAGGTCGATTTGAGTGCAAGTGTTCTCAACCCAGGCTCAATTTCACCCCTCACCTCTTTGTTAGACTTAGAATAGTTCAACTGGTCCATGCCAAACATAGCACTCAGTTCAAAAAGAGGAGTACAAGGAAACTTACACATATATCTATTTATCTCAATGGCTATGATGTGAATTGACATTTTATTTGTATGTAAATGAGATTTTCACTGGTAAAGAAAATAATAAGTGATATGCTTTGTAGGAATGCCTTTCGCTTTCTTGCCAGCATTTGCCCCAAAATATCTCTGTATTTTAAAGGTAGATTAATTTTACAATAGATGTTGCTTTGTCTATTTTCCAACCTGATTTTCAATAGAAAAGAGAATCTCAATAATAACTCAATCCAGCAATATAACTCACTAACAGTTGTCTCAGTTCTCACATAAGAAATCTGTGTCAATCACTGCAAATCTATTTAGTGTATTAATGCACATATAAAGTATAGTGAAACTAACAATGCACACCATGAAGATTCAATAAAAATTCTCATTGTTTTCACAGCATTGGTAAGTCTAGTTTAGGAAGCAAGGCTTTTGCTAAATTTTTAATTTTTTAGAGTGCTAAAAATATATAAGATTAAAACAAATATTGTCAACGCACGCTTGAGTTTATACATCTATAAATACACAAAAGCCATATATGTGTGTATTGTTATAGCCAATCTTTACTATAAAATTTATATGTGTTATTGATCTACAATGCATAACATGTATATATGTTAAAGAGTCAAAGCCAAGGAGTAGTTTGTGCCATCTTATGGAACAGTTCTTACTCAAAAAAACTGGCAAGTAAGTCACAAACCACTGTCTCATCCTTGTGATTTAACAGGTAGCTTAAAAGATCTCCCCCATCTGAGGACCAGTTGTCCAATAAGTGAATGAAGAATGTATCCAACAGGAGGCACAAATATCACAAGTCAGCAAATATAGCCA